TTTGTCTTTAAGAGATATCCCACTACAGAGGATGCCAGAATTATCTGCTTTTAAATAAATTAAGATAATGTAACTCTGAGTATCTATGGAAGGTTTATTGCTTCTTTCTCTTTACCCTGATTTTCTGTCCCTAGAGAAAATACTCCTTCTTTTAGATAAATGCTAGTGTGCACATACTTGTCTCTACCTTCCTTTTTCTCACATAACATATCCTTGAGATCACTCCACAGTGGTATATAAAGGCAATTCTATTTCACTGAATAACCCCAATGTTTAGATATACAATAGCTTGTAAGGTAGTCTCCTCTCAAAGAACATATGGGTTGTTTGGGGTTTTGCTGTGATAAATAGTACTGTTATACATAGCTTTGTACATGGAACTTTTATAATTCTGCTAGTGTATATGTGGTATAGAAACCTAAAAGTACAACTTCAAGTAAATTCGACTGTTATTAGCTTTGTTCACACAATCATTTTACACCTAGACTATTTCTACAGCTTTCAAATTTCTCCTGCCTCCAGCCCCACTGTGTAGCATTTACTACACATTTCAAGGTTTTGGATCTAAAATGAAAATCTTATCTTTTTACCCCTTTGCAGATAATGTTTTTTCTCTATGTCTATGAGATTCAGACATGAAATGTTCATATGAACTGAATGAAACAGTTCATAACCATCCCTTGCTTTGCTTTCCAACCTTACTTCCAGCACTCCCCCTAATACAACCTTAAGTCCAGTTTTACCAAACTTCTAGTAGCTTACAGAAAGGCATATGCCCACTGATGTACTGCACATAATTTTTTCTCTTTACCTAATCCATAAAACACACCCATAAAAATTCAGTTCAAATTCTCTTTGTGAGTTCTTCCTGGGTTCCCTCAAAATCAGAATTAGACTTCCTATTTTGCTCACGTGGTACCCTGTGCCTCCCTCTATTGGAACCTTGATCACGTTTTTGGCAACTCTTTATTAATAAGAACTGCCTATGATGTGCCAGAACTGTGCTGAAAATTTACATATGTTCTACCAGAATAGAAAGGTTAAGTAATGTATCCATGCTAATGTAGCCAAGACACTAGGGGTCTATAATCTGAACTCACTTATTTTACTGTAAAAACCTGAGGTCTTTGAAGACCATACTACTTTTCTAAATATTGTGCATTTTTCCAGTTTACTTTTTAATCTTCCAGACCCCTCTTTGAACCTTGAGCTCATTAACTCAGCAGGCTTTAATGAGGACAACATGGTCTCTGAAATCAGACAGACCTGAGTTTTATCCCTAGCTCTTGGTTTTATCAGTTACTAACAATATAAATTTATGTAAGAATTTTAACCTTTAGATGGGTTTCCTAATCAATTTAATGATACCTAAATTTTTCTGTAGATCAAATGATATATGAAAGGCCTTAGCAAAATAGTGAGGGTTCACAGATATTAGGAATCTTCCAGTAATAGCCAGAATTTTGTTTTGTTCACCACTATATCTCAAGCACTTAGACATGGTAGGTGCTCAAAATATAACTATCTGAGTGTGAATAATTTGATGAAAAGCCTATTTCCCAGCAAACTTGCCCTTTCTCCTAAATTCCTTTTCCCAATTGAAGATATCACCAACCTGCTGATTACCACAGCTTCTTTTTAGAACACTCAGGTTTCAAACTTGAGGTTACCTTTGATCCTAACTCTTAAATATGTGGCACACACATGATTCCCCACCAGGTGATGAGTGTGCCCTGTCAGTTTTATCTCAGCAATAACTTTCCTATCTCCCTTATCCTGTTTCTTTTCTATGGTTCTACTCCAGATCTTTGTCCCACCTCACATGATTTTCTGAAAGGCAGTCTATAAACTAGTCTCAGCTCCTGCCTTTCCTGGTCTACATCACCAAACCACCTAACTATCACCAATGTTCCCTTTCTCTGTATATACATACCAGATACCTCCTCACAGAATAAGGTTCAGTATCCCAAGCACTTCATTCAGTATGCTCCATTGACAGTCTAACCTAACTTTCTGTTCTTATCATCCTCTACGACCCCAAGTTTATACCCCAAAACAGCTCGGCAGCATGTGCTTTATATCATCAGGCCCTTGGACACCATTTTTCTACTTAGAGAGCTATACCTATCTATCAATATCTATCTCTTCTCACAGAAAATTCTCCACAAAGCCTTCCCTGCCACACCATGTGAATGTTTTGTGTATGAGGCTGTGGCATGTTCATCTGTGGATTGCCCACAGCATCGGGCCTTTCCCATAGCAGAACTGCCCAAATGCTGGCTGAATTTACTTCATAGGATCAGAGATTTGGGTAACTATAAGAAAGTTTAGAAACCTTCTAGTATGATAACTTCTTTTAATATATTAGTAAGTTGAATTTCAGAAAACTGTGAAAATATTTACTTAGAATAACACAAAAGCAATAAAATCAAACATATGTATCTTTGGTTTTCTCAGCTGGTAATAATCCTTCGAATTTTTTGCAGAGATATAGCAGGATCTTACCTCTGCCTTTACAAATGCTCCAAAGAGAGTCTCAAGTAATTGTTTTCTATATGTAAATTCATACTTAGGATAATAAGAAGTGTATCATGAGTCATACTTATACATATGACTGGAGGATCAGAAACTCAAGATTAAAAGTGCAGGTGTTAGCTGTACCATTACTAGCTACATTTTTATTCTTCACTGTTTTGTCTTCAGTGTTGTTGATTATAATTTCTATTATATATGAATGCACAACGTCTGCCACAGCCTCCACTTGCCTTCCTTCCGAGCCAACTCTAAAACTTGTTCCATTTTGGTACATCTTAAAGACAAGCATGACATGAGGATATATCTATAAGTATATCCCTGTAGATATAGATATATAGAGAGATAAATAGAGATATCCTACAGAGAAAGATAATTTAGATGCATAAAGTAAAATGGAGGTTTTAATTAACTGGAAAAATAGAAATTAAAAAAAAACCAGATTACTATTTTGGAAAACTATAGTCGTGTCATCTGTGGTCATATTAGTCAAGGTGTCATTATGGTGGTTAGATGAAAAATAAAATGACCATACTACATGTAGAAATTTAGATGAACAAGCTAAGAATTGGTTAACCTTGATTAATACTCTATATGAAAGTAATGCCATTCCATTTAAATAAAAAATTAGATTCTGTTAAAAAATAAAAACATAAAACTTGTCCTGCACCTATAGTGATGGTGGCATTACATTATTTGAAAACTCAAATCTTTTGATTTTGAGAACAAAAGTTAATTATTGCCTTTGTGCATTAGGGGGAGCTAGACTAGTTGCCCAACTAGGTGATGAATTTAATGATTTGGTGGGTTTTGAAATTTTAATTTCAGTTAAATTCAACTTGAATTTTATGTGGCTTATTTTATTATTTTCTTATAAGAGAAACAGAATAATATTATTACAGCTTGGTTTTTACATTGACAGAAAAGGCAAAAAGGAAAACATTTCAAATCCCACTTGACTTGTAAGACTAAAGCCTTATAAACTGAAATGACAAATGTATGATTTGTGGTATCCAATTACTCACAATTAAGATGTTTTTTGTCATAACAATCTGTTGTGAAATGTAACAGAAGAGTGGATAAATAACAGCAACAACAAAAAGATGTGGCTTTAAAAGCAAAATTCAGAACTTAGAGAAGCACTCTGAAGAAAAGCACTCTGAAGATTTAACAGATTTAACAGAGGATTAATTGAGGATTATTAAATGTCATCCTCAAACTCCAACTATAGGCATTTAGTGATATCTAATGAAAGGAGACTTGAAGGAGTAAAGGCAGTACATATTTCAAGAAGTCTTTACCAGGTGGGCCACATTGATCAATTCTTCCTCCTCTTTTCCCAAATGTTACATCAGATAAGCATGGGCACTTACTATATTCTTTTGTAAAATGTAATGGAAGACAGTACTTTAGGTGTAGAAGACACTAATATGAAGGTATGATACCAGAAGATTTCTAAAATTTCTTACAGTTAACCTTTAAGGAGAATCCCTCCCTCTAATGATTCGTCAAAAGCTTGGCTTTAGCTGATGTGACCCAGCCTTCCAGGCTCTAAAATAATATGATTCAACCAATGGCACCCAAAGAACTGTAACGATTTAAAACACATTTCCTCTTACAGTTTAACGGAATTAGGGGATTAGATATACTGTCTAGGTCAGAAAACCTCAAACCATAAAGAGGAAATCAGAAACCTTTCATTCACTGCTACTGCAGTCACTCTCTCTTGGTGTGGTACAGACTCCATCCAATAGAGCCAAGTGAAATGAAGTCTTAAAGGTGACCCTTGGAGAGGCAATGACACCATAGCTCTAAAACTTTCTAGAATAATAAATTTCTTCTACCTATTTAAAACAACTATTGACATCATCAAGGCAGTGCTTAAGTATTCTTGGAGTGACATGGAGTAGAATGAGTATTCTGGAGCTCCAGCTAAGAAAATATGTGCATGTAAAATACCCCATTTTTCTATCAGGCACAAATACCAACTTGTGCCCACTGCTCCAAGCACTGCCCTTCCCATTCTTCTTCATCAGCCCCTGAACTATGTTCTTGCTACTCCTGAAGTGTGTCTAGCACAGAGGAAAATTGTCTCTTGAAAAGGTGACTGGAGAGAAAGAACCCTTTAATTACCTTTCCTACTCCTAGTTCCAAGTCTTTCAAAGAACAAGTAGACCCCCTATTCAGTTTTCACCTCTCAGTCTCTTCCCCACCCCGTTCATCACCCTACTTTGTTATTTAAATTAACTTTTTCTTCCTTCCTCTCTTTCCTAAAATGGTTTGACCTCTCTGTGTCTCTTCTCCAGCCTGAACTCCATCAATTCTTTCCTCCTTGGTTCCAGCTTCTTAAACCTGCCTGAGGCTGCCCTTTGCCCCCTTTTCTCATCCTCTCTCTCTCTCGAGCCCCTTCATCTCGTCCATTCCCGTCTCAGGCTCTCCAGATTCCCGGGCTGTTTGCTGGTGAGAAATCTTTGCTGCAGCGAGGACCGGAGTCCCCCGCGCGCAGCCCAGTGGCAGAAGAGGGCGAGGCTGAGAGAAAGGCTGAGCTGAAGGAGAGGGAGGCAGCCGGTCCTCCCCGAGAGCCTGCAAGAATGCGGCAGGGGGCCGGGGGCATGGGGAAGTACTAACTCCCCGAGGCCCTGTTCGGGGCTTGAGGACCTGGCCCGCGGGTGAATTTCCTGTCAAGTGCAGCCGCGAAGCAGAGGCGCCTGGAAAGCAGAGAGGGACGCTGGGGGTGCCCATCCCCAGAGTAGGACCCACTGCGAACGCGGGAAGAAGAGAGGCGGGAGTCGTGAAAAGGAAAAACCTGTCTCCAGATTGGCTCTGGACAGTCGAAGAGACTGAGGCGCTCGGGTGAGCACCCAAGGGATGAAGCCTGCCGAGTAGTGGGTGAGGGGCGTGCGGAGGGAGTGCTGCGCGCTCGCGGAGGGGGCGCGAGGCTCCGGGCTGGTGTAGGCTTTAGGTGGCTGTTGGCTGAAAGGAGCAGCAGAGCGCGTGCGGCGGCCGCGGCGCTTGTGTGTGTGTGTAGGTGAGAAAGCGAGGGCCGAGAGCTAGTGCGAGCTAGGCACAGAGAGAGCGCATGTCTCATCTCTGCGAGCAGCCAGTAGCCGCTCCACCACCATCTTTTGCATGTGTAACATTTGCAGCCGGACAGAAAACCTCTCCCAGGGCTATGGAGACTGCGGGAAAAATCTGGCAGCTCGGGATGGATTGCTAAAGGGAAATAGTCATAACCCCAAACCACCCAAACCTCTCTCCTCTGTTTTTTTTTTTTTTTCTTTTCATTTTTGGTTGTTTTTAATTTTAGCGCCATAGTCCTCAATGTCTCTCTGAACAGCCTTTAGGAAGAGTGCGAGAGAAAGAGAGAGCGCGCCAAGGGAGAGGAGAAAAGAAGATGAGGATTATTTGCAGACAGATAGTCTTGTTATTTTCTGGATTTTGGGGACTCGCCATGGGAGCCTTTCCGAGCAGCGTGCAAATAGGTAAGCTTTGCTCCGGTGGGGTATGCGTGTGGGTGGCTGTAGCAGATATCCGAAAGTGAGTCAAATGAGTTACTGATAACCAATTTAGGGGAACCTTCGGCGGCTCCTTCCCCCTCTGCTTCCCTCTTCCTTTCTCCCCTTTATAAAAAGACTGCCTCTTTGGTGCAGGTTCAGTTAGAACAGCACAGAGCTGCCCACCCGTCCATTCTCAGTCTATACTCCTGTTTCCACCTTTGGATCATGTCGCTTAAGTAGGATTGCAATAAGTTGGGGGGAAAAAAAACCTCCGTGGGGTTTGGTAGCATTTTATCTGATATTTCTTTTCATTTCTTTCTCTAAAGCATGAAGGGATGTAGAGTTTGTTTAAACAAAACAAAACAAAACACCCCCCCCTTCTTCCCGTGCTGTACGCAGCAGCTTTCTCTATTACAGAAAGACACTGTGCAAAAAAGCATTTACACCCACACCTCCTTGTCTTTGCTTGCTACCAGTTAACGGATTCCAAAGTTAGATCCCTTTCCCGGAACCTTTTCTTCTTTTGTTTTCCTCTTGAATCTTTTGCCCTTAATCCTCCCTCTCGACTCTATTTCCAGGGACCCTATCCGTCCTTCGCTTTTCTTGCTATTCTCTCCTGTCTTTTAATGGGACGCAGCAATTGAATTTCTTCCAGCTAAGCCCAGCCTCAGACTGCATCATTTCTCGTAGACAGTGCACAAAACGGTGCTAATTAGGCTGAGTCCAAGAGCTGCATAAAAACAAAGTTCATGTCTCCTTTCTGATTTCCCTCTAACCTGCACGTCACCACATCCCTTCATTTCTGTATTTTAATGCAAATTATCTTTTCTTCCCATCTGCATGCATCTTAGAAATGCCCGGAGCTGGCTTCTGTAGCAGTGTGCTGAGAATCATGGGGAGTGCAAGAGAGAGAAAGGAAAGCACACTAAATGATCTGTCTCAGAGGTCACTGTGATCATGACAAATTGGGACAGGAAAAGGCTGAGCTGCCTTAAAGAGTAAAATATTAAGCATACACCTTAGGGACAAAGGGCAGTCTCCCAGATGTGGCAGGAATAGCTCCTTAATTGTATGTGTTGGTGAATGGCAGTGGATTTGACAGTTCTTGGGGTGGGTATAGTAACATTTACAAGAGGAGACACTGAATGTGCTTTTTCTGCTGTTTTTAATAGGTGGTCTCTTCATCCGAAACACAGATCAGGAATACACTGCTTTTCGATTAGCAATTTTTCTTCATAACACCAGCCCCAATGCGTCAGAAGCTCCCTTTAATTTGGTACCTCATGTGGACAACATTGAGACAGCCAACAGTTTCGCTGTAACAAATGCTTGTAAGTAAAACTAAGTTGTAGGTAAATGAGAAGAGAATTAAAATGGGGCAATAGAGTCCCCTTCCTCTATATTATTATTATTACTATTATTATTATTATTATACTTTTAAGAAAGACATTCAAGACCTCCACAGTTTGCTGGTTACAGAGTAAATCAGTTAAAAGTAAGATTTAGTCTCAGGGATATTTAGCTGGTCTTTCTTTCTCTTCCTTCCTTCCTCCCTCCCTCCCTCTTTCTTTTCCGCCTCCCTCACTCCCTTCTTCCGTCTTTCTTTTTTCTTGAAATTAATTGAAGTTACTTTCTCCTTTAACATTTCAGTATTATTTCTACAACCTGAATATCAAGTTAGAGAAAATTGTACTCAATCTAGTTTTTGATTTCTGTTCCTTGGTTTTTATTTGCTTTTCACTTGAGTAAGCGTATGTCTTGCTTTTAAAGAAGACACATGCTCTCTTACACTGGTAAAGGCAATGGAAGGTTTGCTAACAGTTAGAAAGAGGGGAGCAGTGGTGTGGAGGATATATATTTGAGTCGGTTGGCTGACGCTGCAGATGATCTGGTGATGTCACTTGAGACTTCCCTGCTCTTATATTCTGGGTTGTAAATGTCTCCTGCTATAAGGTAATGCATATATCCTGTGAATATAACTCCATGAATCCTTACCTTGGTGGCAAATCATGTTAGTCTCCAATCCACTGAATTTACAAACCAACCCAGCTGGATCTGTTATTTTATGCAATAAGATTGAGATTTGGTGATCTTACCTAACACTATAATTAAACAGTTGTACAGAGCTCCCCTGCCAAAATACTGTATAACAAAGTAAAAATATAATCAACTGTGTATTAATTTAAAAATCACTAAAATATGATCAGTCAATAGAACATTTAAATTGCATTTTCACTCTTGGGGGAAACATGTTTCACATACCTCCTTATTTTTACATGCTAATTTACTACTGCTCAAAATTTACATGTTAAGATAATGGTTATAGATTATGTAAGACATATAGGAATAGTTTCTATATAAAATTTTGCACAGCAGTAATAAAATATTCAATCTGCTTTGTATGATATTTTTATTATATCAAGTTGAGTATATTTTAATTTTGAAAGTCCTCTTTCTGAGTACAAGTGTATACTGAACAAACTACTGAAATTGAAAACAAGGAGTTTTTGTGTTAGGAGGATATCTGTTTCATTAATTATTTTAATTCATATATATTTGCCATTAATTCATCTAACAAGTGACATGATCACATTTCCTTAATTTTTGGCATCTAATTACTTTACTTTAGAACTTGGTTTCATAAGGAGGTTAAAGCATCTGACTTTTTTTTTTTTAACTGCTACAATTGTATTAATTTTCAGGAATTCTCTAGCTCCTTTGGGTACTACTTAATTAAAAATATCATTTGTTGTATTTAGTAATAAAGTCAATATTCATTATAATGATAATTATATGGGAGTTATTTTTAAGCAGAAATGAACATAAATTAGAGCTAAGTTTGTGGATAGTCATTTTTGAAAATGTCTTAAGTTATTAATTTTTGTTCCAAGTTTTGATAGAGATGTTAACATTTCAAACAGTTCTAGGTATAAAATATTCTTAGTATGTGATTATTATCTGTTGATTTAAATATTTTTCTTGTGTCTCTCTTGAGATTCTGTCAACAAAACCATTTCTAAGTTTAAAGATAATTCATGATTCAGATATATTTGAAGGTACTTTGTCTACAGTAAATTGCTATTTAAGTATTCATTTTTATTATTTAGTTAATGAAAGACTGTCTTAAAAGTGGAGCTATATTAGTTTTATATTTTCTAACTAAGTGCTTCAGTATTTTAAAGTTTATGTTATGGCTTCCAGCTATATAAACTATAAAGTGATAATTCTTTCTTCTTCCATATCATATGTTAATCTCATTCAGGAAAATTTTAATTAGTATTATATTATTTATGTAATAAAAATATTGTATAAAATAAAGTGTACTAGTAAAGAGCCTGTAAACATAAGAAATTGCTAAGAATCTGTACACAGAATGAAAAAGTTAAAAAAAGGTATAAAATATAGGTAATATGCTATTCTTTAACATGTTAGAATTGAGAAAATTAAAGCTAAGTAAACTAAGTCTGCTTATTTTGATTCCTAGTGTAAGGCAATGTTAGTGGTGTCATGTTTTTCATAATCACATATAACTGACTTTGCATACATGCTTAAAATATTTTTAAAAAGCATAAATTGTAAATAAGGAAAAAACCCATTTTCTAGTGAAGAAAAGGAAAAATTTTTGACAAATGAGTATGCCAAATGTCCTTAAGGCAAATCTAAGCAGAATTTGGGAAAAATCAATGGTCAGAGAGTATGGGTCAGGTGATTGGTGTTTGTTAAATGGACTGACCTAGAGCATGTAGACGCGTGATTTTCCAGTCTAATTAAAGGTGAAACGTAAGCAATAAGTATAAGGCAAACTCATATATCACGCTGTATGCCTTTGGGTACAAAAGGATAAAAATAGTGTTCTGTAGAATTAACATGGAACTTATTCCTCACAGTGATACAGGCTAGATTTAAAAATTTTTCATGTTGGATTAAATATACATATATTTTTTAAATATAAAAAAATATATGTGCCTGGCTAGGTTTATCTTAAATACAATTTTCCTGCAGTGTGCCCTTGTAAAACTTCATAATCTAGTGTCTTTGTGAATAAGGGCCACTAAACAGGATATGTTTAGTTTATGGAATGTATACTTAAAGACAAAAAAGGCAGATTAAAGAATAAAGAGTATTATTGGTCATCTGTTGGACAGATGTAATTTAATGTTGGTTCTTCTGCCTCAAAATTAATTTAGCATTCTAAGACTACTTCAGACAATCTAAACATTCTGTGTATAGAGTTTACATACTGCATTAGTATAAATCCAATTAACTCAAATTTTTCACTTTTGGTATAAATCCCAAGTTGCTGAGAGAGGGTGGGGATAATTTTGGCTTATAGTTTCACTTTATTTTTTTACAATATTTGTGTAAGATTAAATTAAAATATTGTTCTCTTTTTAAACTATTCACATGGTTGAAAAATCACACTTTGCTAAGTATAAAACTGAAATTATAAGAAATACAGATAATATAGAATTATGACATATTTCAATAACAAAGTATAGGTGTAATAAATAGCCCAAGTAGTCAAATTTCAAAATGTAATTAAAGGTATACATTTCTTTGTTGTAATCTATTCAAAGTATGGGGTATGACAAAATAAATTTATTTAAAAAATAAATTCAATACGGACTGTCCTTTAATAAATTAATTTAATAAAATATTAAATATGGAATGTCCTCTAATAAAATATTATACAGTTGACCCAAAATAGCTATCCTTGCAAACGAACATGCTAGTTAAATTGAATATGTTCTTTACAAAACATTTGAGACAACCTGAAAAAGCAGGCTATGTTCTTATATTTTTCTAGTAGTTAATTAATAAAGATATTTTGGTTTGGAGGATGATGTATCTTAAATTTTGCCAAAGAAGTTATAACCAATATACTAAAGTAATCTATCCCAAGCTTTCTAAAAGATAAAAAGATGAGACATTGCAATTATTAATTTAGTACAGTTACGTTAGCTAGCCTGTAAAAGAATCAGTCTTTAATAAGTAAGGCAGTCCCTTTACAATATAATCCACAGATGTTCAGTTTCTCAAATGATTCTTTTAATTTCATATGGGTAGTAGGAAAAACATAGTGAAATAGATCAAGTACTCATGTATTGTCCCTTAGGTGAAATAATAAGAGAATTTTGTGGAATATTTCCAACTTTTTAAACTTGGATAGGAAAGACCAACTGGTTAATATTTTTGTTTTATTTTTTACAAATAATGTGTTTATCTTACTCTCCTTTTCTGTCTAAAATCTGTCTATTCAGTAGTTTACAACATGATGGATAGGAAAGTTGTAAGTCAAAAATAGAATGCATATTATACCCTAGTAATGATGAGAAAGTTGTTCTTTTTAAGTTAAGTATTAGTTCTATTTGTGATGGGTTTAGTTATCAACTCTAAATACCCAGTTGTGTGCCACTTGTAAAAGTAGGTTGGTATGTAAAATATACTTGTTTAGTTAATCTAAATACATTGAAAATGTGACATTATATCCAGTAGGCTCTGCAGGCAGAGCTTATATAATAGGGACTTAATTCAAACTTGTTTAAGGGTACTAAATAATACAAACTTTTGGCTTTAATTCAACAATGTTTAAGTTTTGTACATTTTCCTTTTCAAGGACATGAAGTCCTAAAAAGACATTCTAAGAGTTTATATTGGACTGATATAATAATCTTAAAAATGCTAAAAATAAGTTCTGATGGTTTGACCTGCAAAGTTGTTAGCAGAAATACATTAAATACTATTTGACTTTTGATTATTTCTAGGAAAATGAGTGACTGTCATTAGATTTCCTTATTTTGAATTGATAGCAAGATTCTATGTTGATTTGAAATAATTCTTTAGTTTTATAATATTCTTTCCCTCTTTTTCTTAATTTTCCCCATGAGATTGATGACAAAGATGAGTCACATTTCTATGGCTTGTCCCTTTCTTAAATGATGCACAATTTGCATTGATGTATTTCAGAATTGTCACAGTACTAAGCTTTCTTAAAGCCATTTGAAAAACTCTCTAAACTTTTTTTTTTTTCTTGTGGATTCTCCCAAGGGTTTTTTATTTCTCAAAGAGGAAAAAAATTTTACTTTCTGACATTGGGAAATATGTATATGTCTTATTTACAGAATTTTACTATAGTTCAGGAATTTAAAATGAAGAATAAATACCATACACCTTACATTTTACTACAACACATAGTTTTTAAACTGCTTTTATGTACATGATTTTATTTGACCTCAAGCTAGTCTTCGAGTGAGACTGTCTGAGAAGATAGTCATTATTTTTTAGTTATTATTTTTTAGTTAAGCCAGCTTTGACTCAAAGAAGTTACTTG